ACAACCGTGCTCATCCCGCTTCTTATTCCCGGATTAATGTGTCTCATTGTAGCATCTCTAAAACAAACCAGACACGAGAATATCAGTCAGATCAGCCACAGAAATACAAATGCAAATCTGCCATCTGCTCTGTGATCTTAAACCACCCTTTATTCATCACTCAAGATCTGATGTGATAGTGCACATTGCTCAATCCTTCACATTTAGTCCAAAAAGCAACATGATTCTGATTTTTGGAATGATATAATACACAGGCTGACAAGTTTTGGTGCTGCAAGGACAAGTGGCGACAGTGTCCTTATATGTGGAATCCTCTGTGCCAGAAACAGGAGCATGAACATCCCATGCAGAACTATGATGCTAGGAAGAAAGCCTAAGAAGCATGCTTGCAACGAAAGGATGAGAAACACAACCATGAGTTTTCAGGCCAGCATGCAGAAAAAGAAGGCAGGTAGAGTGTAGAGAAAGGCGGGAAACATGAAGGAGGAGGAGCCCTTCTTGCAAAGCAGTAGGAATTACTGGAAATTTCCACTTTCCTCTGGCAAGACGGTGGCAGGGGAGGAGCTACGAGGCGAAATAAATAAGACGGGAGAGCACAAGTTAAATGCAAGCCGTGTGCTGTCGAAGAAAACTATTTGACTTTCTCCTTTTTGTCCTAGATTTATGAGACCTTGTGTTTGGATTACGGCAGCAACTTCAGCTAAGTATTGTTTACTGCGCTAAACACTTTGTTACCATCAAATGCCTCCTGCTGCTTTATTTTCTGATTTTTTTTTTCTATGATTATTTGGAAAAGAAACAGGAAGTCCTGTAGTCACCAAGCAGCAAACAGACTCTGCACAGAGCCATGTCTCTGCCGTGTGTAAAGATGCACAACATGTTTACACGTCACGTCTATCATCCGTTCATTAACCCACTTGGCCATTGTCTAGTAGCTTCTTAACACATCTGGTGTAGCTTTATACCTAAATACCTCAAGTGACCCTTGCTCCCTTCAGCTCCTTCCAGTGCTTCCACCCACACCTTGATGCCTGCTGGGAAATGCAGTCCCCATGGCGCATTCTGGGTCTGCTCTTTGTCCAATCAGCTGCTCCTTACACAGCCTCAGAGGGAACAGTGCACAGTGTTTATTATCCTGTCCAACCCTGATATTCTGCTCTCGATGATCACAAACAAAAATGCAAAAACTTTTGCAGTCTGAAGTGACTTGAAGTAAATGAAAAACACTGCTTCACATAATCAAGAGGTGCTCCTGACTGGCAAAATGTTCATATTAATAAAAATACTGTGATGAAGCATTAGTTTGAAGATGATCCAGATGTTTATGACGCTGGCTTTCTTTGTTATTGCTCTGCTTTATAAAGTAATTACATTGTTGTTGATGCACTCAGCCTCTTTGATTTTAAAATGTGTTTGCATTTCATTGGCCAGCTTATGGTGCAAATGTTATGTGATCTTTTTGCTCTTGGGTCATGTATTGTGAAGGACTCAACATCCACCAGATCAAATTGTATCTCTGTACAACCGCCTGAGTTAGAGATATTGTTGTGTTTGTTAAAGGTGCCCAAAGTAAGAATGACACCCTGTGGTCAAATATGGGTACTGCAGTCCCTGGTAAATGGCCTGTATTTGATATACCGCCTTCTAGAGTCCTAGATGGCGGTAATGTGGCACGATCTTGTCTTTTTAAAAAAGATAAAGTAATGGCGGTATAAAGGGTTTGTGCAGCAGTCGATGCGTTGTCACGGACAGCTTAGACGTAATTTGTTTCTTTTATCCCGATTGAAGCCACGCTACTTACACTTTTTCGTGAGCCACTGCAAAAGGTCGTTGTCCTTCACAGTCCTCGTGAACCGTGCTTCAGCTCCAACGGCCAGAAGCTCCCAAACCATCTTCGCTCTGGTTTGCCATCTCATCTGATGCTGTTTACCAATGTAAACAGACTCCCAATGTTTACGTGCATTTTCAATAATGTTGCAGGCCGGGGCTTGGCAGACATTCCACACGAGATCATCATGACATCACCATCTGTCGCATGAAGGCGTGACTTTCATTTAAAAGTTCAGCATTGCTGTAATATTATTATCAAGCTTGCTGGCACGAATGCAACAATAATCTTGCCTCACCATTTTGCCATGGCACTTTCAAAAGACATCGTGGCGACAATATTACCATGATTTGCCGCCACGGTGTGTCTTTTGAAAGCGGCTGAAGCAACCTTCCTTCCAAGGTGATTGAGACATTAGACTGTTTTTTAATTATTTCACTTACTTTTCGTACCTTTAAATCATCTCAAAAGGAGTTGACTCCTAAATTTATTCAGTTGTAGATCTACAAGCAGTGATAACCTTTGGGCATTTCGCTCCATGCATGCAACAGGTAGCTGAAATGTTTCCACCATTATTGGACATGACTTTACTAAAACGCAGCTACTGTAGATGAGAAGAGTTTAAATGCCTTCTCATTTCCTGTGCGTTTGACATCAAGTGTGCCAGCGTGAAGTCAGCATTATGTTGTCCCCTACAGGTCGTCTGAGCTGCAGAAAGGCAACCAGACCTTGCAGGACACTGCTGTTCAAAACAAAAGAGCACAGTTTGGCCCCCACCAGTTCTTCCAATTATTGGGTCCCCTCCCCCGCTTAAGCCTGATCTTTGCTCTTTGATGGGCCCCCACTTTGCTCTTCCCTTCAGATCTGAAATTCCACAAGTAGGATCAGCTTTTGTTCTCGAGTAAATTGGGGTGAAATTAACCTGCTTGTACTTCCCATCGTTTATCTTAAAGTCTGTGACCCCAGCAGGTAAAGAAGAGCTCGATACAATGATAAATGTTTCCCGAGAGGAGCTGCTGCATAACATTTTCATTTATTTTCAAGCATGACACACACAAAGAGGCTTTTCTTCTTTTAGTCAGTAGTACTTTCTGTGGTCTCACAGTTTTGAGTATCATAAAAAGGTTTTTCTATCCCTGAATGTGGAAAATGTGGTAAACAGAGAGGCTGGCAAAGAAAAAACTCTCACTTTTTTTTTTTTTTTTACTTTACTTCAGTTACATTTGTCGCTTGGTCACTTTTACCTGCTTTAACTGAGATAAGTGATTTTTTTAGAGCAAATCAGTCGCAAATGGAAACGTTTCTTGAGGTGGGCAACAAGAGAGGGAAAAAAGAAACAGGAAATGATCTCACAAACAATCCTCCTCTCTTTGATTGCTCCCATTTTCCATTTACAGAAAATGTGAGTAATGCCTTCTGGTGCTTTAAAGTCTGTTGCACTCGTCCTCCCGTGGATTTACAGTAGTCTCTAGGCTCATTTTGGCTCTAAAATACTGCAAATGCCTGCTTTCGATGCTCTGGAGATTTCGCAATCTCCTCCTGCAATGTATTTTTAACTGCAAGATCTAAAAATAAATGAATTTTTTGTATGATATGGATGAAAATGCAACCCTTTCCTCTGGAAATACAGTTGAATAACATAAACAAGAGAAGAGATTAAAGCTCTAAATGACCAGCTCACTAAAACACAACCCTTTGATCTCTATGTGTAATTATACTCCTCATAATTATATTTCTGCTGAATGTAGGGTGAATGACAAGCGTTTGGCTCGTAGACTTCTCCATAGACAGCAACTTTAAGGAGTGCATCAGACTGAGATGTAAACTGAGGCGTCTTGGGATTAAGATACGCTGTGGGAATGTGCTGGGACAAGTTCAAGACCCTTTAAGCCTCTTTTATAAGACAGACAAGACCATCAAGATCTGAAACACTGACCCAAATGTTCCCAAAATAAAGGTGGAAATTAGAATATTGCGATAATGACCGCAAGTACAAAATGTGTGGATAGTGAAAAAAAAATTATGAAGTGCTGAACGTTGGAGGATCATTCCATAGTATGTGTACTGTACTTCTGACAATCGTGCAGTGACTGGATGCACTGCAGGCTTCAGAATTCAGGAATGTTTCCAGTGTATTTAGTTCATCAGCTAAAGCAGTAAACTCAATGATGACACACCTAGCCTTAGTGAACTCCTCTGAATGAGCACTGGTGTGTTTAGCAGCATTTACACTAACAAATATAATGACTTTTTTTCAAAATAAATTGTTTAAACAGTGCTTCATACATTCAATCAAAAGTGTATTTTTATTAACATCCAACAAAGGTTCATTAACCTAGCTTCTCACAAAATGTAGTTAGTAAATCACTTTTTAACATGAAATTAAAATTGTTTTAAGGCATTTACTGTAAAGGATTTTTCTGTTAGCCAAGCAAACGTGTTAAGCTCTTTTTAAATAAATACCTTAGTAAAATATCAGCAGTAACTGAAATGAAAACTAAATATATTTATGTAAATGTATACTTTAGTCAATGTAAGTGTGTGTGTGTGTGTGTGCGCGCGCGCGTGTGTGTTCCTGCAGCTGAGACAAAAAACTAAAGTTTAAGTGGTGTGTGTGTGTGTGTGTGTGTGTGTGTGTGTGTGTGTGTGTGTGTGTGTTCCTGCAGCTGAGACAAAAAACAAAAGTTTAACTATACTTGATCAGATACGTATGTCCTTACTGGAGTTAAATATGGAAAGGAGGAGTGGCCGTCTGCTTCTCACACCCGCATATTACTCCTTTTTTTTTTTTTTTTGGTCTGTAATTTGATACCTCATTTCTGCAGAACAGACCGTTAAGACAAAAGATGTAGCCCGTGGCCATGTGTGGTAATATTTAAACAATATATCATACTTTAAACAGCCTTTATTTGTCGCTAGAACTGATAAAAGTAGTAAAACTTTAACAGCAGAAAGCTCGCATCCACTGTTAAAAGAAATCTGTTGAAAACAAAAACAAATGTATGTGCAGTACGAGAAAATAAGTAAGGTCCGACGGCACAGCGCTTTAAAAGGAACCGACCAATCAGCGACGAGATAATCGAGAGGCGGGAATTTTTGTGAGATTGACAACACTTTTGTTCAATCGCTTGCCCCGTTGGTCGATGCTGACCAATCACGTGCGGGATCTTGCCGCCGTATCCAACGAGAGTGGATTTTCAACGAGCTCGAGAGAAAAGCGGAGAAGGGCAGACATCATTTCTCTCTCAGCGTCTTTCGACTAACCACACGGGGGCAACGAGAGGAAAAGAAATAAATCTTTAGAAATTAAAATAGACTTGTAATTATCTATATTACTTCAATAACTATGGCCGATACAGTCGCTGACACAACCGCCACCACAGAGGTTACAGCTAAGGTGCGTTTCATTCATTTTGATTTGGGGGTGGGGGTGAAACTGTCGTTTTAAAAGGTTTTGATAACTTTTTTGAGTTATTGTCTTAAAAACCGTAAAGCGAACAACAGTAAGGTATTAAACGAAAGTATGAATTTGTACCGTCAACGTTACTCCGTGTAAGTTTAAACTGATTGGCGAAACGTGTGATGCACACAATATTGTTTTCTTGAATTGTCTTTTCTCGACGTGGATATTAAGTCTTGAACAATTTACGTCGTCGAAAGCAGTTTTTCGGTGTCTTTGACTGAAAACGAGCGCGGTGTGGATGGTTGTGAGGTTTCGTTGAGCAGACAAAGCGGTGAAAACGGTGAAGCGGAGCTGCTGTGGGCGGGAAGCTGCAGCGCGTTCACAGCACGCGGCGTGAGGAGATGAAAAACACCGCCGCTCTCTGTTTCTGTCACGAATTATCTCTATTTTCTAAACATATTCTAACAAATCTTTGTTTCAACCACACTACCGGTTCTCGGAAGAGTCCACTCTTTGATCACGGCGTGCTTTTATTTTGTAGGAGCTGAAGGAGAAGAAAGAAGTGGAAGCAGCAGCAGCGGAGGAGGAGGAGAAGACCGACAGCGGGGACGCACCTGCCAATGGCACAGTGAGTCTGAAACACAAACCAGCCTCATGGCCTTTTGTCTTAGCGCCGCTCGTCATGCAGGTGTCGCTGCACCCTTCCCCAGCTCCCGTTCAGCTGCTCCCTCCACACGGGGCTTTGTTTGGGTTGTGAAACGACACAGATGTTTGCTAGCAACCCACAGACGTCTCCATTGGTTTCTCTAGTCTGTGGTTTCTCAGAGCTTTCGCGTTAATCCTCAGAGGAAGTAATAAGAGGTAAACACGTGCTTATCTCAAGGGGAGAGTTTACATGTTGGTGTCTGGATGGTTATTTAAAATATCCGCATTAACTCTACTATATTATCTAAACCTTTTCTTGTTATAAACCCAATCATTAGTCTTGTTATAAAAATTAAATTGCCCTCTGTTTTCAGAACGGTGCTGAACACACTGAGAAAAAGGAGGAAACTACAGAGGAGGAGCAGAAGAATGGAAGTGGTATGTTTCATTTTTGTCTCACATGTGACCTTAGTACATTAATATTTTAGTTGTTGACCCGGATCATGTACACCTATTGTGAAAACATGCAACATGTTTTCTTGATTGCACTTTTTTTTTTTTTTTTTTTTTTTCAGAAAAAGCAGAGGAAGCGCCCCCTGCTGAGGAGACTGATGCACAGCCTGTAAAGCGTGCAGCTGAAGAGGAGGTGGGTTGTCATCAGGCTGAAGACATGTTTAATCACTTGATTTTGACTAATCTGGTTATGTCAGGTCTTTGCTTATGCATGGTATCTTTTATTTTATTTATTTTTAGGAAAAAGCTGAGACAAAAAAGCAGAAGACAGAGGAAAACGGAGATTCGAAAGAGGCAGATGTGGAGGCTTAAAACGCCGGTTCCCTGCTACATGTTTTTGCGGCACTGTCTCACCAGCCTGGTCAACATCGTGTTCTAGAGCTTGTGCTTTCTGCGGAAGATTTGTTTTTGGTTGCTCCCATGTTATCACATTGCACTGGAGTCTTGAAACCTAGAGGCCCTGCATACTTTTTATGTATGAAATGTTATTTATTGGTCTTTAAAAGGAGCTTTTCTTTTTGTACTTGTACGAATCAGGCCGCAGCATAAGATCAGTTCTTTTTATTTTACTAATGTTTCACACCATTATTAGAAGCACAGCCTCTATTATATCCGTGCTGACCAGATGATTCATACATACAGGCAGCTGCTCACCTTTAAGGCTCATGTTGACCTCTCTGATACATTTAAAAAGGACCAAAGACAAGTTTTAAGCAGGGGGTAATGGACAGTTGTTTTGGCATTTATTAGGTGAGGTGTCATCCTTTATTTTGTGTTAAGCTGCTACTTAATCCCTGGCTGCCCTGTTAACATAACAAATGGTGCAAATAGACAAGAGCTGTGCGTTGCACCTCCATGGATGGATTGTTTGACCTTTTTTCTGTGGAGGCAGGACTTTTGCAATGTTAATTAACCCCCTCTTAAATCTTAAAGCTTTGGTCATTTGTTCTGTATGCATTCCACGCAAGTTTGTACCATTTATACGTTGTTCTTGCATTTCTTGAATTTTATGTTATGGTTGAGTATCCCAATTCTGTGTAGACTGCCTTTTTCATAACCAGAATGGCATTTGGTTACTTCAGCCACTGCTTTGTATATTCTGATTAAGAAATAAATTTGTCTTTTTACTTAGTGTGTTTGTTTTGTCTTTTATTATTTGATAAATCTGTAAAATTGACCCAGTTTCTCTTAACATGGAAAATGGCTGGCTCAGATGAAGGAGCTGGGGTAATTGATTTTCACTCACTTGGTAATGGAACAGGATGCAGAGGCTTGCTGTGCGCTGGTATACTGTGGCGCCCTCTTGTGGCAAAGTTGGACATCTGAGCACAAATTAAAATGAGCTACATGGATGATTAAAGAATGGACATTAGTCAAAACTGGCAAAAAGATTGTTTAAGTTTCAACTGAACCCTGGATAACAGCTTTAACAGTAACACTAACATGAGCTGAAGGTGATGCCACGTGACACAACCTGTGTCTCATCTTCCCCAGGCGAGCTGCAGCGTGATCTGTACAGTTACGGTTTCCAAAGAAACAAGCAGGGCGTGCATCTGGTCAGTCCAGGAGGCTTTAATAGGCAATTACTCAAGGAGCACGAAGGTGCTCAATGGATCCATCACAACAATGGGCTTCACATAATAGTAGTTTGTCTTGTGTCTAGGCCAGACGTATGCCGTGGTAGAGCAAATGTAAACAAAAACAAAACAAGATGGCTTCCTCAGGATCGAAGAAGGAAGAGCAGCTTCCAAGTGAGGACTGATCATTGTACTGAGATGATGGACTGTGCATGGTGGAGCAGAAGCCTATTGAATTGATCATGCACCCTAACGATGACGAGAAGCTCTGGCTGCTGGCTCTGAGAATCCCCACAGTCATTTCTAACGCCGTCCATCTTCAGAGTTACCCACAATCCACGTGGGTCTTCTGTCCGTTTGCTGTTCTTCTGTTTTGCTTGACTGAATGCTGACTCACACCCCAGTTTCAACTTCTCCTCTTCCTGACAATGACAAGAATCATTGTCATTATTACAATGGAATGGCCGGGAGTACGGTGTCGGCTCAGAGAGCTGTCCGTGGCTTAGTGAGGGCCCAGAGAGAGCTACACCTGTGTGCTATGATGAACTGAATATTAACTGATGTGAATTAATAATGTGGGTGGGAGTATCAGCAAAAAGTCAAATTGGTCTCTGACGAACTAGATTGTGAAAAGTCTTTGCAATACAAAGGCAACCATGTTAAGCCCTTCTAATACTATGGAAAAGTGTATTCAGTATAATCTTATGAAAGTTAAGTAAAGGTTTGCTAACTCATGCTAAAATAGCTTTTAGGTGTACTGTAAAAATTTGAACAGTGTCAGAAGTTACTTGCAGCACATTGATTTGACAGAAAATCCTGCTGTAGATGTGAATGCTGTTGATCTAACTCAGAGAAACAGGCAGGTAGACATTCCTTTGGCCATGTGACCAGAACAAAAACCGTGTTTCTTTGAGGGATCTCACTGCAGCTCATGCAGATGTTTGGGGACTGATCAAAGGAAAAAAAATGATGGTTAGCTTGAACGAAGGGATCGACACTGACACCCCAAACACCAACAAGCAAGCAAGAACAAAACCTGAGCTTTGACCGCAGAGAACTCGACAGAAAAACATCTAACTGATACTCAAAAAGTTTTTTCTTGGCTGTCACACACACACACACACACACACACACACACACACACACACACACACACACACACACACACACACACACACACACACACACACACACACACACACACACACACAGTTTAAATCGGATGGAACAGCAAAGTATTAGTTTAATGAAAACTGAAACCATTTGGGCTTGACAGATAAAGATGCGTCAATAATTTAGCTTTTGTTTGCAGCTACACCCCGTAGGTTCGAAACTCGGCTGCGGCCTTTCTGCGTGGAGTTGCGTGTTCTCCCCATGCATGCGTGGGTTTCCTCCGGGTACTCCGGTTTCCCCCACAGATCACAACATGCCCTATAGGTTATAAATTGTAAGTCGCTTTGGATAAAAAGCGTCTGCTAAATAAATAAACATAACCCCCCAAGAGGTGACCGGGGGGCACCTAGGCACCCCTTTGTCACCCCAGGGAAGACCCCCACCCCCTCAATAACTCATATGTTAACACACATCATGCTGCATCTTCTGTAATCTGCAAATACATGTTAAATCCTATCAGAGCCTCCCCCCTACCCACCCACCATTTTCTGGTGGCGCCACTTGTTTGTTTGCAAATTTTTACAGAAGGATCTACAACACAACTTAGATAGAAGAGCAGCTGCCAACACCAGGGATGGGGCATCAATAAGTCATCTCCGTGCTGTGCTTTTCTTCAGCTCAGCAGCTAAACCAGGTGATTTCACTCAGCACAGTGAATGAACCTGGTTCAGTTGCTTAGCAGGACAAAAACATGCATGGAGATGACTTGTTGATGCCACAATTCCAGACAAGTCGTACAAAATACAAAATGACTAAGATATATTAATGAGAAAAATATCTATCTAGCAAAAAAAAGAAGATCTAATGACAAAATGCTCGTTTCTCTTAAATTTGGGTTTGTCAAATTTAATAAAAAACTGTAGATTATTAAACAAAGTCTCTCCAAATCATGACTTAAAGTCCACTTTAAATAATATTATCACACATGTTGGTCTTCTTCATTTGGAATAGTTTTGCAAATTGATTTGCGAGCTAGTGGCTCTCTCTGACATGGAGCTGAAGTATTTGTACTGCGGAGGAGAGAAGATGATGTATTTCATCCTGCTGTGGTCATGTGTTAAACCAAAGGTCAACACACTGGTTACGTGTTTCCTGCTGATTGTCAAGCTTAGCAGGACACAACGTCTGCGGCAAGGCCTTAGCCTCGTTTAGAAAACACTGCAGCCAATTTGCTGCAACGCTGAGTCGGCATCAGGGAGCCTTAGGTCGTTTATAAATGGTCAAACCGCAGTGGTTATGTGGTGCAATTGTTTCCTGTTTTAAAGGGGTAAGGGGGTAGTCTCTGTGCCGCTGTAGATGTCCGTTTAACTTGGACATAACTTGCTTTTTATTGCGACTGAAGCCGCACTCATTACGTTTTTTTTGACAAGCCGCTCCTAAAGGTGTCTGTGCTCAAGAGTTCCTGTGCAGTCTCTGGTGATCTGAGCTCCAGCTCCATCAGAGAGAAGCTCCCGGAGCTCTGCATCGCTCCAGTTGATCATCTCAGCTGGTTCTGTTCACTAAAGCGTAACTTACGGCCCGTGTTTACTTTCATTTTCAGTATAGCTGCTGGCCGGAGCTCAGCAGTAACTCCCCACTTGAAGATGACATCATCCTTTGTTGCGCCAATACTGCAAAATTCCCACAACGCCACCTGCCACAGCGCATTCATAAGGCACGCCATGGCATGGCAGCAGTATTATGCTGATTTGCCGGCATGGTGTGTGATAAAAAATACTCTTTTTAGTAAAAATATGTTTTCTAGTTTAAATCTGGAGACTGAATAGGATTTTTTGGGGGGTACAAAAACAAAAATGGTCAATTTTGTCCATTTACTGTAATACATTGGTGGTTTTGTATCTATTAGATTTTACAGAGATGTAAAATACTGGAAGTGTACACCTTTCTTCACATCAAACCCAAACAGTTTCAAAGTTCATCCAATAAAAGAAAATTTCTGCTGTTCGGATATATTCTCCCTTTTTTTGCAGGGCCTACTCGTTCAAAATGACCACACACATTCATTTGAAAAGGTTGGTGGGGAAGATGCGTGGGCACACACACTGTAAGAACACACACAGGTCATGTTTACACTTGTCAGAGAGGTGGTCAAATGTCTGTCTATCTGTCTGTTGAGCTCTGAGGAGAGCAGCGTGAAACATAGGGAACTGTGCTGTACAGTGTGCGGCAGGATGTGCGGCGTGTCTGTTGCTACCAGAGACATGAAACCCACTCAGGCGCTAGCATGGGGGTGCGTGGCGTTCAGTGTTGTGGTGAGGTAAACAGAATGAAGAGGCTTTGTTAAGAGTGCGCCAATAATGGCTGGGTCTCGTTATCGGGGGGCTCACCCTCAGGGGGGGGCAGCTGGTACACCACGCAGAGGGACGAGTACAGGCAACCCACGAATGACATCAGGCTTGCAAAGTACATCACTCCCTGAGCCCCGCCCACCAGCGAGGTCAGAGGTCCCATCGCCACAGAAACCAGGATCTGTGCCAGGAAATACTGACAGCTGAGAAGAGAGATGTCCACCCCCATCCCTCGTCTGGTCCCCTCCTCCGACGAGCCGCAAAACTGGAAGACAGGCATGATCACAGCAAACACTACAACACGATGAAGACGAGTTTCATATCCTGGGAAATCAGAGTTGTGCTCGTTGTGTCTACACCGAGCACGAAGGCAGCAGTTACTTTAATTCAACCACAACATAAAAATAGCTAACTGGAGAGCTTTTGAGAGGTTAATGCTGTAGGCATCCAGCTGCTGGATCTGCTTCATAATTGTCGTAGGCCCCTTTCAAATGAGCATTCCTTTTTATTCAGCTTCATGTGTGATTGAGCATCAAATACACATGCAGGAGCCCCTATTGTCTGAACAAACATATACTGCATGGTATTCATGCCACTATAGGTGCAGCCTCACAGTCTTATTCTGCATCAAATGTAACAGAGAGCTGAAAGTTACGCTCATACCTGCACATGAAAATGTGTTTCAGCAGGAAAACTTGATATAATTAAAGGTGTAGCAATTCATGAAGGAATGCCCCCCCCCCCCCCCCAGCACCAGAGTTTAAAATGATAATTTTCTGAGAAATTATGTCAGTTTTGTCGAATCTTAAAAACAATGTTTGCACACAATTCTCTAAGGACTTGTGCGATCGGTTAGCTCTCAGAATATGTGGGGTGAATAGCTCTCAGCTACTACTACGTAAAAATATAGCTCAATAATAGTAATTTTGACTGAATTATAGCCATTTCTGTGTTGGTTAAAGTGAGCTGTGGTGGCCATCTTGAATTGGATTGGCTCCAAACATGAATCCGTTGCAAACGAACATCATGTGAATAATTTCTGAGAGTTTCATTAAAATCCATCCATTGGTTCATGGAATCATTTGCTAGCAGATGGACAAATACGACTCCAACAGCTAATGACAAGGTTTTAAACAACTATGCCGTGCAATGTGTGTTGCTTAGAGTTTGTCTTAAACATCAGAGCACCAGATTTTTCTAACAAAAAAATGTGTTGAGTGAGGTTACCTCTGGCAGCCGTTTTTAAAAAGGATTTACTCTAATCTGTGGGTTTACCTGTAAGGATCACCCTAACCCTAAACCTAAGGATTGCTTTCAGAACATTTCACCAATATCAGCTGGTGGCTCATGAGGTTTGCTAACAGGGTTGACAACAATGAAAATGGATGACTTGATCCCAGTGTTTTTGTGCAATTAGTAACACTCAGCCACTCCGAACGTTAGCTGAATGTTTGTAAAATAGTCTCAGTCACGGCCGTTTTGGTGTTTGTTACTACTAATCAGCTGTGGCAGATATCTTCACTTGAATTGACTCCGAAAACAAAATAACTGTAGATTTCATTCAAATAAATCACATCAACTGTGTGGTTAAAGAGCTACACATCAAGAAGGATGCCTCAAATAAACCACAAGTGAATGAAAACACACAACTTGCACGTTTTAAGACAATACCAGGAAAAACAATCTATCTCTGCTCGTAAACAGACACTTACTTGAGGGCTTTGGTAGTATTCACACAGCAGAGAGTAAGGCAGCGTGCACAAAGAGGAGAAGAGCACCCCGTAGGTGACACAGAGCGAAAGCACCACGTAGAGATTTGTGGATAGCGTTGCCAGGCCCGTGCCCAAACCAAATGCCAAGTAGGCAAAAAAGTACAGCGTGCGGAGAGAGAAACGCTCCTCCAGTTTCTCCAGTATGGCTGCAAGATGTAGAAGATACAAAAACTGTAAGCATGAGACAAATTTTTATACAAATTCATCTCCCATGTGACATGAATATGGGCGTTTTACCTGAATAGAAAGCAGCACTAAATGCATAGATGCACATGCCCCAGCAGCCCATGCTGACGCCGGCGTTGTAGCGCTGGTAAGCCTCAGAATCATGGGGCGCTTTGGGGTCTCCTTCAAACACAACCTCCCCCATGAAGTCGGTGTAGAAGAGCAGCATGCCCTCGAAGGACAACCAGCCTACGCCACACACAAGCAGAGTGTGTTACCCCACAACGCATGGTGGGATCAACAAGATTTTAAGAAAGCAACAGTTCTCACCCAGAAAATGATTAGTGCATAAACTCCTCAGTGAGGGAGGCATCCTGTAGATGGCTATACACAGCAGCTTCATTGACATTTGGGATTCTCCGGTTTCCACATTCTCACTTAGATCGCTCTCGTAGCGTACTCCATTCAGCAAAATGTTTGCAACCTGCTCCAGGGAAAAGAAAGGTTTAAACGGTCGTGGTGGTTACTAATTAAACAAGCTCATGTCAGAGCTTAAATTAGTCGCCGACCTGCTGGCTGAACGTCACGGTTCTCCTGCGTCCGTTATCCAGTCCGACGATCTGTGTTGCTGTGGGCTCCTCCATCAGCGCAAGACTCTGAGGTCGCTTCAGGATCCCAGCAGTGGATCCCCGGTGCAACCCTGCACCAGGCTGAGACTCCGCTGAGACCTGACCTTTCTGAGTTTGTGCATCCACCTCAGACTGAGGCCCTTCTGCAACCTGAGACTCACCAGCTGAGCAAGACCCAACGTCAGCCTGAGTTTGCTCTGCAGGAGGGTTCCCTCCCCCCTGTGAGGAGGCAGGAGGGGAGTCCCCTGGAGGCAGGGGTACAGTGATGGAGCTGTAGGCCAGGGCTGGGGGAGTCTGCTGACCAGTGTAGCAATCTATAAGCACACGGTCTATATAGGAGGTTCCTAACGAGGAGGCAAACTCATTGATGCCTGTCAGCGAGCTGTCCCTGCTAATAAAGCTGCCATATTTTGGAGTGAGGGGGCTTAGGGGGGAAATGGGACTCGTGAGGCCAACACAAAGACGGGCATTAGCGCTGCAAGAATGCGCCAAAGGGTCAGAATTACCTGGATGCGATTTAGAAAAACTGTAGCTGTAAAGTCCTTCCTCATTTTCTTCGTCCGGTCCCAGAGTCACTCCAGGGGGAACCGGAGGGGAGGGGGGAAGAGGGAGGCTGGGGCTTTTTAAATGGTTTTTACTGGAGTTTTTGTTTGGCTGGCTTTTTGGTAACGGCCTCTCGGGTATACTGATCAGAGTCATGGCTGTGGCGAAGACCAACGTGACACACGTAAACAGATAAATGACCCGCAGCTGACCCCCCATCGACCTCCCAAACTGCGTCTGGTCCCAGTTGATGCCACCTACAATGTAGCCAAATCCTCCTCCCAGTCCTGTGTGGTAAAAGGAGAAACTGTAAATAGAGCCTTTGGTTTGTTTTATTGAGGTCTGGTGATGCAGTGACTGATGATGTAACAGAAGGCAGAAGATTTGCTAGAAGTACAGTACGTCCTTTTTGACTGTTAACTTTTTTAATTATTTGGAATGTGTCTGTTGTATAGTTTTCTGGATAATTTTGTGACAATGATGCATAAAAGCACGCCTATCACTGACCCTTATATACCTTTTTTCACTGTTTCATATCCTTTAATGGAAATGCATTCTTCAATTTCAGTGTTTTGATTCCCACTAGAGTTGTTAGTGAAATGATATACCCAGATCATGTTTGTCTTCACTTCACAATGAATAAAACAAGAATTAAAGGATGCTTCCCATCACCTGCTAGTAACGCATGAATGTTCAGCCCTCGATCCTGATCCTCCGGGCTGCACACGTCCATCATGTAGGCGTGGCTCGGGTTGTCCGCTGAATCGGCGCTGAAATCCATCAAAACCACACCGCACACTGTCAAGATGATTCCCCACTTGTGGTTTGATGCTGTGTCAGCCAGGACACCCCCCATGTCCCGTCCATTCAACACCAGCGTTAGACCAACCAAAGCTCCTACATTGGATGAAAAAGTCAATATGTGGATGCTAAAATTTGTGAAGGGTATACATTTAAGACCTGAGGCATGTTTTTGTCTTTTCTTTGAAGTTAAACTCTGTGATTCAGTGTTAGTGCCACAGTCTTACCTACAGCCAAAGCAAAAATAAACGGTCTTCTCCTCCCAAACCTTGATGTACAACGATCGCTCCAAGCTCCGATGAGAGGCTGGACGAGGAATCCTTCAAGTCAGAAACAGGTGACGGAGTTAGAATCCTCGTTCAGAGCCAAACGACGGATCTGCTCGCGCATCCCCTATTATCCACTTACCAAGAATGGGACTAATGAACCACACCAAGCTGTAGAACTGATCAGGTAGGCCCATCTGTAAAAGCACAGGAGTCACATAAGCTGTTTCCATCGCGTAGCTAAACTCAATGCCAAACAGGATGCAGCCGTTGAAGAGTAGCTCTTGAAAAGTGCGCCTTGGGGGAAGCTCACTGAGGTCCAGCTGGTCCAGGGGACAGGGTGTGTTGGGCGGGGGAGGAGGGGAAGGCCGTATTAGCTTCCGGCGCTTTGGCTGTCTTTGGAAGTTGTTGGCCCTGTGGCTGAGGTGGCGAGTGGTGGATGTTGGGAAGCTGGCAGTCTTGGGTAGTGAGCTCCTCCAGATCCCTTCCTGAGCTGTGGATAACCTCCCTCCTGGACTGGCCAAGAGGGGGTCACTTGGGGTGCCCATGCCTGGAGATGACATCTCTCTCAAGTGGGAGTATTCTGCAGCATGGAGGAAAGGAGTGGGAGAGTTATGTAAAATTAATAAAAACATGAAACACTTTGTTTGAATTTGAACAATCAGATTAGAGGTGACTCAAGTTCATTGTGACACTGTTTTGTTGCTGCTGATGGCTGCAGCTCAGCTACCACACTGTTAGAAATTACCAGCATTTCACATTAATTTAAAGTAATATTTTACAGTAATTTATTGTAATTAAGTTTCCCTGTAATAACCCATTGAATTAATGTAAAAATAAAATATCCTTGGATTTTACAGCATTTAACTCCTATTTTACAGTATAATCTTGCCATGTAAAACCATCTGTAATATTACAACCAGGAATTTTATTTTCACAGCAAAACTGTAAAAAGTGCACTGATTTCACACCATCAAACTGTAACATTACAGTAAAATATTGACTTGGAAGTCACGTGACACAGGCAGCCTATATACTGCCAGAACAATGAATGACGGATGTAACATATAATGTTCATGAAATTTAAAGACATAAAAGTTCAAAGATGAGCTGATTTTTGTTAGGTGGTAAAAGTTATTTTACATTTTGTAGTGGACTACAACTCTTGAGTTGCCTTTTCTGGACAAATGTTGGAGCATTAAACGTTCCAGAAAATTATTGCTTTTTTCCGTCCGGCGGATCCACGGGCAGACTGGAAGGGGAGGAGACTTCCTCTAACCGAACTACTAATTTGAACTGAAGGCGCGAAATCCCTCTTTCCCTTTCTCCGCCGGTGAAGAAGGTGAGCAACTTTGTTTTTACAATGATATTTACTTTTTGTTGAACGTTTATTGCATGCCGCAGATCATATATATTGTCTTTAAAAATGTTGCATCGAAGGCTGCATGTGGAAGTTGGTCTACCAGCTCAGGAACGTTTTTTAAGGGGGAGGGGGGGGGGGGAAGGCGCGGCTATCTATTGTTGATGGAAACAATGGGGGGTTGACAAATGAAACATGATGTGCCGTGAGGCAAAGCGATGTCAGACCCATGATTTACCGCAGAGCGGAGCGGGTGCAGCTTGGAGCACTTCTGACGTGTTGCGCTCCACTTTTGTATGCAAAAACGCTCAAAGATATTGCCAATTAATGCTGCGTTCACACTGGCCATAACGTATACGTCAAACAGCGCGCATAAAGCCCCGTATTTGAAGCCCTATATTTTTTTTACTTTGGCCCTTGTAACGTCTGCCGTAACCGTTGGCTGCTGCCTCAGGAACCCCCCTGCTGCAGGGGGGAAAGAGCGCGGGAGGGGCTCTCTAAACTTATCCAACACGCAGAGTTCTTCACCAATCTTTTTCCAAACGAAGTCCTAGTTATGCCGATCTGTTTAGGCATGACAGGAGGGGCCATACGGTTCGCGGTGATTGAATACGACGATAAGTTTATGCTCTATGGCTGAAATTCTTAAATGCTTGTTTTTTTTTTCATGGAATCTGGCTCGTAGTAGTGATATGACAACAACAGGCGCTCTGATTGGTTGCTGCTTGTAAAGCGACGCAGCTGAACGTTGAAGCTTGAAAAGTATCAAGCTTTGACGGAGCCAACGCTGTTGAATCTCATTGCAGAAAAATAATTAATTGCTGTGCATTCATTTTGCACATGTATAAGATATGTATAAGATACAGATAATTAATATGGTTAACAGATACAGATAATGCTGTACTCACTCATCCTTAGAAATCTCTGTCAGGGTGTGAACTTTGACTGTACTCATTATCTTATTTGATTTGATTGCAAGTATAACCAATGTACTGTCATTTTTGCACACTATAATTAATAATCCAGCTGTCATATCTGCACAATGAATGACTAATATATTATGCACATCAGACTCACTTTGATTATTACTGACTCACCTCGTTTAATCATAACTGAATAATCCCTCTGTTATTTTACACAGATTGGTGTATTTGTGTTTGTAACTACCGACTTCGAGATCACTGCTGCTATTTCCACTATTTATCATCCACATTTTCACTGTTGCCGCCACATTCATCTGGAATTCTCAACCTATTTAGATACTACTCCCAGATATACCCGAGTGCTTTCTTTTCTTAAATACTTGTTTTATTGTTCTTTAACTGCTTCTGCTACTCAACTGCTCATACTTTCATACACAAATTTCCTAACTGTGGGACAATGAAGGAATACTTATCTAATCCTTGGCTATGGTTTCCTCTTGCTCTGCAGTCCATTCAAGATATGTGTGATAAAGTAACTACAGAGTGAAAGGCACTCTGATTAGTTGGCGCTCATAACACTGCGTTTCTTTTTGTTAGCAATGTTTTTTTTAGTATCGGTTATCTACTTATCACTGTTATCTACAACATTCTGACCTAAAATTTGTGTTCTTCACCTTGCTTCCCTGTGTTGACTTGAGTATGCCTGTATTCTAGGTTGGACTGACATCTTGATACTTCTGTACCTGTGTCACACAAATTTGTAGTTCCTGTTGCTGGTGCGACTAAGGTAGTTACTGTTTTAATCATGAGCATTGCTGTTTGTGTTTTATTTCATTTTGATGATGAATAATAATTGTAAAAATTACTGTTTACATTGATAGAAAAATCTCAAAGTGCTACTGAAAACACACACATAAATAAATACAATTGTCTGATGAATTAATGCCTATTCTATGTAATTAATTTTTAAAAATCATTTTACGTATTCAGTCACAACAACCTGGGCAGAGAATTAAACATAAAAATGAAATAAAACTCTTGCGCTTATTTTAAGAGTACTTGATTTGGTTGTTCCTCCACAGCATTGAATGTAAAGACTCATTTCTTTTTGAAAAAAATCTAATAGTCTGATTTGGCTAAGTTATTGGCTTGAGGTTTTGAACTTTTGCCTCGCACAGAATATATTACTTCTCATAGGGAAATAACTGTTAAAAACAAAATAAAAATCTGTAAACGTGGCCCCTCTACTCACTATAGTCAATATATGCCTGTTAATTGTAATGCTAATACATTTTGTAACACATTTTAAAAGATAGCAGGCCACACAGGTGCCTTTATCTATTTTAATATTGCCTATATAAAAATCCGGGCAATGGCCAATACCAAAAAAGGTTAATATATTGGCCTGGTATACCTGTCTGCCTCTACTGCACATTTTATAATTATATGTACGCTGTTTTAAACATAGGCTTACTTACAATGATCACAATGTGCATGCAAACTTAAAATTGTATTGTTGGTTGCCTTTGTGTAATTTCTTCTTTATTTTCTTTCTAGATCACCAGAGAGCGAGGCTGACCACACTGTAAGTGACTAGTTGACATGCTTCACAATGTTCAACTGCAAATTGGTTGGGTGTGAGCATGTCTTTAGGAATGTCCATAGCTATGTTCAGCACACCAAACTGCATAGCAATGTCCCCAACTATCAATACCAGTGTGGTGTGCCTGATTGCTCATGGAGGTGCAGAAAACACACGGGACTGCAAATTCATATGTATAGGCAGCATAGGTCTAACCCGCAGACTGCGGGGAGTACACTGCCTGACACGTCAGCCCTACCAACTAATGCACCCTTAAAATGTCTAGTTGAGGTATGTGCATTTAAGTGCAGCACTTTGGCCTCTCTTATTGGGCATTTGAAGAAGCACATAAGTGGAGGATTAGAAACAAGATGTCCATTTAGGGATTGTGATTGCACATTCACAAACGTGTCCAGTTTTGCTTCACATATTTGTAGAAAACATAGGAGTGTTGAGGATTCAGTTTTAAATGATGTTGTTTTAGACAGGTCTATAGCCACAGAGCCATTGCCAGGAACCAGTCAGTCATATTCAGAACCTGCTGAGGAACATAATGAACCACAAATGCCATTAGTTGTAGATGAAAACCTCTTTTTCCAGAACCTTACACTTTTCTACCTAAAAATGCAATCTAAGCTACTCTTGCCAGCAACCACTATTCAGACCATCATTGATGGGTTTCAAAGTGCTCATGAACTTGGCCTGTCAAATTCCCTAAACATTCTAAATGAGAAACTAAAGGAACTCGGAATCCCTCAGGCCACTATAAGCAGCATCATTGAGGAAATGAACAGAGAGGATTTACTCTCACTCTATAACAGGGAAAGGCTCAATACCGATGCAAAGAGGAAGGCTGCTTTTAAAGAATCTTTTAACTATGTTCATCCTGTGCCTTTGCTCTTGGGCAATGATGATGATGACAAGGAGTGTTTTGCTCAGTATATTCCCATGCACGAGACCTTGGTGACACTTTTCAAAAATGAGTCTCTGCGTGAACAGTACACCATGACACGTTCACAGCCATCTGCTGATGCTGTCTATCAGGATGTGAAGGATGGAGAAGGCTTTCAAAGAAATCCAGTGTTGAAAGCTGACCCTTCTTCACTTGGTTTAATACTGTACCAAGATGCTTTCGAGGTTGTCAACCCCCTAGGCTCAGGGAAAAAAAAGCACAAGGTTTTAGCTGTTTACCTGACTCTGACTGACATCTTGCCTTACAACAGATCTTCAATTGATCAGATGCAACTTGTTCTCTTATGTAGGGAACAAGACTTTAAGTATTTTGGGGTAAACAAAGTTTTTGCCCCCCTGATTGAGGACCTCAAAATTCTGGAGCAGAGAGGTATCCTCACATCTGATGGCAATGTACTAAAGGGCTCTTTAGTTGCCATTGCAGGAGACAACCTGGGATCCCATTCTATTGGGGGATTCTTGGAGAACTTCAGTCGGTCTATATGGTTTTGTCGCTACTGTGAGGTGTGTAGAGATGAATTCCTGGCTAACCCTATATTGTGTGGTACAAAAAGAACAGCTCAATCATATGCATGTAACTTGCAAGAACAGAAAACTACTGCCACTGACTCTGTATGTGGCATCAAGTTTGACTCTCCTTTCAATCAGCTTTCACATTTCCATGTTTGCCAGCCTGGCCTACCACCATGTCTAGGCCATGACTTATTTGAGGGAGTCATTGCTTATGACCTGCCCTTATATATTCG